TACAATAGTGAGTACAATATGTATAAACAGATTTGGGAATAAATTCAATGCACTCTTGCAAAATGCATGAGCCACCAGGAGAGAGAGGGCCTCCTACCCAGTCCCACACCAGCCTCCAGCCCTCAGAGCGTCTAGGGCATCCACGGATAGACACTACAGAGAGGTCGGGAGTGTTGGTTAATGTGTCAAATAGGTTGTAAGATTCACTTAAAAGAGGTCCTACTGCCCTGGCCGGTTTGGCTCAGCGGTTGGAGCATCGGCCTGTGGTCCAGAGAGTCCTGGGTTCTGTTTCCACTAAGGGCACGTACCTCGGTTGCAGTTTGTTTCCGGCCCTGGTTGGGTCGTGTGGGTGGCAACCACTCAACGTGTCCCTTTCACGTCGATGTTTCTCTCTCTCTCTCCTCCCTCCCACTCTGTCTGAACAAAAAATGGAAAAATGTCCTCAAATGAGGGGAAAAAAAAGAAAGGGGGTCCTACTGCTAGAAATACATGTACAGGCATATTTGCATGTGCCAGACACTTGAAGTGAATGAAATACTTGTGTGGAAATGATTTTGCTTTTCTGATTCTTTTTTCTTCTGGCTCAGCCTTTTCCAAAAACTGGTTCTGATTTGAACTGGTTCAGTAGGATTTTTAAAACAACCACTTCGCTTTTGTTTTCAGTGCAGTTAAAAACAAGTTAATACTTGGGTTGGTTTCAGAGTTCGGCTAATTAGCGTGTTCATTTTGATTTGTGAGTCCTGTTATCCAGGCCCACGTTATTCACTGCGAGAAATGATTCAAAACCAATACTTTTTTTCTTCTAGAGTCTAAAAATGCCTTGGGTTTCTTTTGTACTGAGGTATTGTTGTTCGAAAGCAATCCTGAGATGACAGTTATTGGGGAACAAAATTCACGAACAGGAAGAGGCTGACATGAAAACCCAGAGTCTTTTTTTCTTTTTTCAATCCTCACCCAAGGATATTTTTCCATCTATCTTCAGACAGAGTGGGAGGGGGGAGAGGGAGAAAGAGAGACAGCGAGAGAGAGAAAGAGAGAGAGAGAGAGAGAGAGAGAGAGAAACATCAATGTGAGAAAGAAACATTGATGTGAGAGAGACACATCGATTGGTTGTCTCCCGCACAACCCTGATCAGGGCCAGGGACTGAGCCACAACCGAGGTACATGCCCCTGACTGGAATTGAACCTGGACTCTTCAGTCTGCAGGCCCACACTCTAACCGCTGAACCAAACGGGCCAGGGTGAAAGCCCTCTGTCTTGATTCTGACACTAAAGGTGGTCTTCCTTTCCCCTTTGCTTGCGTGGTATCAATGTTGGCTGAATGCATTTTGAGTGCATTGAAGTTAGTTACCTTCAGTATTTCTGATTTATTCACATAGAAGCCATGGAGCATTCTCTTTGAAACATAAGGACAATTCCTTGGGTACCAGATGGCGGCAGGCATAGAGCCACTCAGCCATGGCCTGCCCTTTCTCCCCAGACCTGGGACAAACTCTGCCATTCAAAATGGAAACATAATCAGTGGCACACGCAGGGTGTAGTGTGATTTGATCTTCCCAGGCTCCTTTTGCTGTGAACTTCCCTTTCCTATCCTGTCGCCCTGTGCTCTTTTCAAGGAGTCAGAATCCCCCTTCTAGCATGAACCAGGTGGTACTAGATAAAACCTGAAGACATCATATGAGCTCATGCCTAACTTAGTACGGATGCAGATGGAGCTATGACTGTGCTTACACCTACATCTATACCTACATCTATGTCATCTCTCTACATATATGTATAAATATAGTATGTGTGATACATGGCTTAGTACACACACCTCTGTTTCCTACTTCTGTCCGCTGAGTGGGCCTAGAAGCAATGACACCCCAGGAGCAATGAGTACACTCAGTACCCAGATCTTGGTTTCTAATACCAATAAGAGGAACCCGGGCAGCATGGACAAAGAGCAGACTGTAGGGCTTGGGAAGAGAATGTGCAGATGTCATGCCAGGACTGAAGGGAGTACTCAGAAGCGAAGTGAGGGGTGTGTCAAAGGGACACAGAGCCAACTGTACAGCTACCAATAGATAAAGCTGGAATAATTTGAGCAACAAACAAATAATGCAGCACTGGATTATGACTCACAGTACAAAATAAAAATAAGTCTATACTGATATAAATAAATTATTGAATAGATGAATAATGGGAGAACAGGAAAACCTCCTCTAGAGAATCCCAAATAATTTATGTAAAATTCCCCACTCGAGATGGTAAGCCATAAGTTCCTACCTCTGAAGTGTGGGTGGTACACAGCGACTTCCTTTCAACGAGTAGAGTGGAGATACCTGACCAACACTGCCCGAGCCCGGTGATCAAGATCAACAGTGAGAGGTCATGTCGAGAGCATGTCCCCCTGATATGATGGGAGGGGAATGGTGCTCTACCTCTGTGATGTTCCTCCCCCAAACCCATAACCCCAGTCTAAGCATGAGAAAAACATCAGGCAGACCCAAATTGAAGGACATTCTGCAGAATACCTGCCAAGGTCAGCAAAAACAAGGAAAGTCTGAAAAACTGTCACAGTCCAGAGGAGCCTAAAGAGACATAACAGCTAAATGCAATGTGATAGTCTCATGGGAACCTGGAACAGAAAAACAATATTAGGTAAAAACTAGAAAAATGGGAGTCAAGGATGGGCTCTACTCAATTATAATCTATCAACATTCATTCATAAGTCGTGACAAATGCACCCTATTGATGTCAGTGACATGGGAAACTGGAAGTAGGGTATATGGGAACTCTCTGTGATATAATTACAACTTTCCTTTAAATTGAAACTTTACAGAAATAAGACAAAATAATAAAAAAAAAAAACCTTTATTTTGAAAAATCCTCCCCGGCCACTTCTTTTTTTTCTCTTGACCCCATGTCTCCCAACATTCTGGTCTGCACCCTATGCCCTGGTCATGCAAGAAACTGCAGTGGCTTCTCTCTGATCTCTCTGAATTTAACATGGCAGGTCTCGCTGATACCGGAGCCGCACACCACATCTGGTTTTACGGCACCCTTATTTCTTGGCTTATCTAGTTTCTGGGAGCTTATCTGAGGCATTTTTATTGGCTGTAATGTGGTCTGAGACAGTTTATTTGCCGCCTGGAGGAGCCCTGTGCAGTGGTCTCTTGCTGTTGGAGAAGCCAGACTCCACCCTGCTGGGGCAGAGACACATTGCTCAGTATACTGAGAACACAAATGTGAACATAACATCTTAATTTGTTAATCACCATTTTATAGCCACTAGAAAGACGCACCATGGCATGTATTCTTGTACTGAGTGTCTGGGCTATTTGCTGTATGTTGATTACACAACCGAATTATTTCCCAAGGCCCAAATGTTCCTCACTTAAACATCTCCAGGGACCCCATCACCCAAAGGATGAGGCCCACGCTTGGCAGGCAAAACCATTGCTAATGCGAGTCACGCAGACTCTTTGGCAGCTGCCTCGTTGCTTCCCCAACCCTCTCCTTCCTTTCACCACGTCCATGCCCCAGGAGAATGAATATCACTGCTCCCTGAACACACTGGGGTCCTTGCTCCCCAGCCTCTGTCCATGCCCTTCTTTCTTTGTTTCTCTGGAGACCTTCTATGCATTCTTCAAAACCCAACACAAATGTTTGAAGCATTCCTAGTTACCCCAGGCCGAGCTGCCTTTCCCTCTTCTTGCTCATGAGTAGAGAGCTTTACATGCTGGTACTCATATGCTTATAGTATTCTGTTGAGTAATGGAGGCATCTGTCTCTGTTACTGGCCTGGGAAGGAAACCACCCAAGGCATAGCCAGTGTTCTACTTACCTTTGTATCCCCAGAGCCCAGCACAATGATAGTAGGGAATTAAGCAGGAGAATGAATACAGACCCACTACCATGTACTTTGTGCTAGTTTCCCAAGAAAGGCAGTTAGTCATATGATTTCTGGGGTCAACCAGCCTTGAATTCAAATCCCAACTCTATCGCTTACAAATGCATTTAGCCAGGTTACTTAATGTCTCAGTTTCCCCAGCTGATAGATGGAATAAACGGGCTGTTGTTAGGAAGATTAAACATGAAAGTATGCGACTTAACAGTGCCAGACACAAATGATCACCCAATGAATGCTTACTGTAGCTGTTGGACCAAAGTGTCCATGTTTTCCTGACAGACCCCTCTCTGCCTAGCAACATGTGGCTATGAGACCAACATCCTGGAACAGAGATGTTATTGGTGTGGAACCAATCCACTTAAGAGTCAGCCCATTGACCTTGATCCTTTTGGCATTGTGCCTAATTGTATTTGGAGATCAGATGGAAGACTCAAGTGGGTCAAATGTCCACAGAAGCAAGAAAAATCATTTAAACCAGGTAACAGATTAGTGATTTCACCTCTAGTTATATTTCTTATAGGCAAGTCATTGTTTCCTTGCTGCTGACCTTGATGACTGTCCTTGGTGGTTATTAATAAATATAACTGTTTGCTTTTCCCAAATAGGTTTGAGTTTCACGAGTCATACATTTCTAGGACAAGAGTACGAACTAATTAACCTGATCTTTGGAAAAGCAGCTGATGGAGGCATAATCCACAAATTTAATTAACATTGAGGCTTTAAAATTGAACACACAGAAGGAAAAAATTTTAATATATATATTTTTTAATGTTTTCATGCTCCCCACTGGGGATTGAGCCTGCAACGTAGGCATGTGCCCTGACCGGGAATTGAACCAGGACCACTGACCCACACTGGCTGAGCCACAGAAGGAAAATTAATGAATCAGTTAATTTTGTCTTCCCTGTACCTTAATCATTCAATCTTTACCCAGAATATTCACACCCCTGTGTGATAGATATTCTTCTAAATGTTTTATTACAAATGGAGAATTCTATTTTTCATCAACTGCTGATTTCATTTGTGCTTATAAAGCATTTAGTTACCATGCGAAAGGAAGTTAAGAGGCAGCCCAGATACTTGCTAGGCTGATGTTCAAGGGTGACCTGCCCAAGCGCCTCAAGGCCTCTGTCTTTGACTGAGACAGCCTGGCCTGGATGCACTGCTCAGCTGCCAAGAAGAGAAACCAGGACTCTTGTAGGTTTTTTGTGCTGAAGTCACATTTGCAAATCTGGTTTGGAATGGGCTCTTGACCAAGATGGATCCTCCCTGAGCTCCTACTGCTCTGGCGTGTTTCAGTGCAAGAGGGCCACCAGCAGTCTCCGGAAGTCCCCGGAGGTGTCTGAGCGAACCATGTCAGAGAGGGACTTCTGATACTTCTCTTGGAACTTAGCTTTTATCCCCTGAAGGTCCACCTGTAGGAAAGATGACAACAGCAAAGGAGACAACATTTATAGAGGGCTCCCCATAAACCCAGGCAGACTCAGCACCTTATTCTCATTTGCTCATTTGCTCAAAACAACCTTTAGCAGGTAGGGCTATTTGCTGCCTGTTTTGCAGATGAGAAGGGGAAAGCTGAATTTAGCTCAAAGGTTGCAGAGGTATCTGTGTATATGTGTGTATTTTCCAGTAAAACTTGGTGGGCACTAAAACTTACATTGCATGTGATTTTTATGTCTTGCAAAATATTACTTTTCTTTAGAATTTTTTTCACAGTTATTTAAAAAATAAATCATTTTTAGGTAGCAGGACTGGACAAAAGAGATTTGTAATGAAACCTCTTTTCTTTTCCTCGTACCCCGATCAGCAAGGGCATTAGTGCAAGTCAACAAAATTCCAAACAATATCGATGTGTAAAGCTTATCTTGAATATAATTCATTGAAAGCTTAAAAAACCTAAGTGCTGGAACTGAGGAGAGAGTTCAGAAGAAAAACAAATTAAAAGATTGTTCTGCTTTCAAGACTTACAACCTAGGAAGGGAGAGAACACTTGTCAGAGAAAAGCTATAATTCCAGGTGGAACACAGTGAGTCTCATAAAAGAAGCACAGCACTGTCTTGAAGCAGAGTTTGGGGTTTTTTTCTTGCTTCATTTTTATTTATTGTATTTTATTTATTTATTTATTTATTTACTTATTTATTTATTTAATCCTCATCTGAGGACATTTTTGCATTTATCTTCAGATAGAGCAGGAGGGAGAGAGGGGGGAAGAGAGAGAGAAACATCAACGTGAGAGAGACACATTGACCGGCTGCCACCCACATGACCCCAACCGGGGCCGGGGACAAACTTCAACCATGGTATGTGCCCTTAGCAGGAACCGAACCCAGGTCTCTCTGCTCCGCGGGCGGACGCTCTAACCGCTGAGCCAAACCGGCCAGGGCTCCCCCTTAATTTTTAAATCTAAACTCTATCTTACTTTCTAGATAGACCTACAAAACATTGCTCAAGTTCTGGTTCTTTTTACTCCTGGCCCAATTAGAGAGCTGAACAGGGAGAGAAAGAGGAGAAGAGGAGAAGGTGGGTGAGTGAGGAACTGTCTGAAGTGGGTGCTGAGCAGGAGAGAGACTGCAGCCGGCAGGTGGTCTGTCTGTCCGCTCGCCTGCCTTGTGCACTGCTCGGCTGGGGGTGGGACAGAAGGGCGGAGGGCGGTGTGGCGGGGCACACTTAGCTTCTGTTCTTGTACCATGATGCTTTGGGGAATTCGAGGTTCTGGCCAACTGTATCTGACTGGGCCTGAAGCAGTCTGAGGGGCTGGCCCACCGGGGGAGCTGACCCAGAGCACGTGGTCAGTACTGAGATGGGCAGAGCTGGTTGGAACGAACATTCCGTGGCCCATATTGGAGTGAACACAGAACCCCGAGGAGCCTTCCAGACCCACCTGTTCCCCTGGGGTCCTTTAGAATCCCTGCCCCGCTCTGTCGCCAACCTGCCCCTTTGAATGCCTCAAGACTTTGGCTGGGGGGTTCAGTTGCTAAGAGACAGAGAAGACAGAGACCTGGAGAGGAAAGGGAAAGAGAGACTTGGAGCCACAGAGGAGAGAGAGACTACAGGGGAGTGGCAGAGAGACCAGAGATGGGGAAGAGGGAGCAGAGAGACACATGGAGGTTAAGAAAGAAAATATGAAGAGTGGAGGGGGAGGAGGTAGAGGGGGAGGAGAAATTCCAGGAATAGAAATAAAAATGAAAGAACAGTCTCGTTGCGAAGTTATATTTAAAAACAACAGTGTTAGATGTTAAGTCTTATTTGTCAAAAGCTGTGGGCCGGAATTTGGGCTGGTATCCTTCCCCTTCATGTGACAATTTTTATCCTCACCCGAGGACATTTTTCCATTTTTTGTTCAGATAGAGCGGGAGGGAGAGAGAGGAAGAGAGAGAGAGAGAAACGTTGACATGAAGGGACATATCGAGTGGCTGCCACCCGCACGACCAACCAGGGCCGGGGACAAACTGCAACCGAGGCACGTGCCCTTAGTGGGAACCGAACCCGGGACTCTCGGGACCGCAGGCCGATGCTCCAACCGCTGAGCCAAACCAGCCAGGGCCATGTGACAATTTTTTGAGGGAAGATGTCTGTGGTTTTCAAGGGCTCGGTTACACTTCATTCTCTAAGGCTTCTCCTGCTGCAACCGAAATGCCATCTCCCTTCATTCTGTCATTTCTCCCGTGTGTGGCTGTGTCCCAAAGCATCTGCTATGAGTCTTGACAGCTGCTCCCAAGCTTCGTGCAGCTCATGCCCTGTCCCTTTCTTATCCTCATGCATTCTCAACGGGGGACACTAGTGTTCCCAACAGGGCAAACATAGTTCTTACTGGGTCAAAACCCTCATCTCTTTATGTAAAAGTACCTATAATGGCACATCAACAGATATACAGTGTGTTTGCAGTGTTAACATTTCATGCTGGGGGGTGGGGGGAGCAATTAGGAAAAAAATGGGTCCAAAAAGGCTCCTTTGTGGAGCGATCGATAATTTAAGAAAGGATGAGAAACAGTGTCTTGTACTGAAGCACTTCTGGTGCAAAATCAAGCTTCTGCACAATTAAATAGAGGCCCGGCTCACGAGTCAGGAGATCACTCGCTCATTGTCTCTGCTGCTGGGTGAACTCGTCCATCGCTAACCTTTCGGTGCCTCGGTTTTGCCTTCCTGGAAATGGAGCCAAGCCTGGCTGCACCTCCCAGAGGGCTCCACCCGGTCCCCTCGGCACACCGCGCGAGCTTTCCGGAGCCACAGGTGACAAAAATAGAAGCAGCTGTCATTGTATTTTTACAATAAAGAAGCAGGTTGAGACACAGCACAAGGTCTTTCACAAAAAGTCCAGGAAGACAAAGATGTCTTTGTTTTACTTTCTCTGTAAATAGGCCCTTAGTAAAAACTATTTGTTGATGACATGATGGCCCAAAGAGAAGTCGCAGCCTGCCAGTTTGGAGTCGAGCATGTCTTACCTCAGCCCTGGTCACAAAGATGTGAATGAGTGTGTCCTCATCCGTCCCCGCACCCTTCATGGACTTGTACAGACGGTCAGCGAAATAGCCCTCCTGGTCCCGGGCACAGCTCACTGGCGGATGAGGGAAAAGAGAAGGTGAGGTTGTTGCCTTTGGTTGAATAACATGGAGACCCTCGAAGGAACCGAGGTGGCCCAGGGTGTCACCTGGCCACCCTTGAAGGTGACTGGGTTGCGAGGCAGAGGTTTGAAAGGAGCCAACTCCATGCTGTTGTGTACTGGGATCTGGAAGATTCTTCAACCAGAATTGAAGAATTCCGACAGATAAGAACCCCTCCTGTTCCCGGAGACCCCTTGAGGAGCGTTTGGCTGTTGCTCAGCTCTCCCTGCTATGCTCACACTGCTCACCAGCAGAAATCACTTTTCACATCTCAGCGAAATCTCTGGCGGCAGAGTTGGGTCTGGAGAGGAAGCAGATGGACCGACAACCTTGCTGTAATAAAACTTCCTGATGTGGGAGACTCCGTCGGTGGGACTGCGGTCTGCTTTTCCGGGCTAACCAACCTTCCTTCCCTCCGCCTTTGCTCCCTGAGTTCGTTCGATGAGTCTCATCTCTGGATCTTTTCCAAGTTCCCCACGGTCTTCTTAGTTTGGGATGTGAACTCGATGAAATGTTTGATGCTGCCCACAGGTCACCTCCCCGTGATGCTGCTGGTTGCACTTTCCTGGCCCCCCCACCCCCCCGCCAGCTTTGATCTAATCCACAAATTACTAAGCAGAAGATAGGGTGTACCTCTGGAGGTCAGCCATTCTTCCCTCCCCTCCTCCCAGGCTCATATGGGTCCATACTGACTAACACTTTGGGGGAAACAAAGTGTTTACTCTCCAGGTTGTTGACACTTACCTAGAACTCTTCGCATTTTTGATGTTAGCGACTGATAACAAGCAGTAACTTCAATATGCACATGTAATGTATGCCCTTATTATGTTCTTCATGGAAACTCTTGTTTTCTAGGTAAGTGCCCATGTGGGGGATGCTTACAAGGAAGGGAGAGGAGCAGGATTAGGGAAGCAGAGTCGCTAAGTTGGGGTCTGTCTTCTTTTGTGGAACATGTGTCAGCCATCAGAATGTCAATGGAAAAGAAAAACCCAGACCCGGATCTGACCTCTTTAACCCGAGAACAATCTAAAAGCTGCCGGGTTGATATCGGTTGTGGGGGCAACCTGCCAATTTGGGGAAAGCATGTTTGGAACTCACTGTGGTCCCCAGACATTCTGAGCTGGTGACCTCACAGTGTTCTCCTGAAGCCCCCGTCCTGTGCAGCACTAACGGATGCTGACATGTCCACCTCATGTCAGTGGGCCCCATACCTGCACAGGTGTCTTCCTCCAGCATCCTTTCTTCCTGATAGTTCGGGGAGAAAATGCTCAGCTTTCCTTCTGAGCACAGTCCTTGCCCAGTGAACGACGTCTGTCCTTAGCAGCCGCAGAAGTCCCTCGGAAGTTTGGACGGGGCTCGCCCAGGGAGGCGTGGGAATAAAGGTGGCGAGTGAAAGATGGCTGGGCAGCCGGCTACTGTGCTGCCTCCTGCTCCTCCTTACTTCCGAGCAGATATTCTCAGACTCCAGGGAGCACCAGCCCGTCGCTCGGGAATCCTGTCCAAGTGTGGCTTCCAGGCTCCGTTCCTGGAGGCTCTAAGTGGGTCACCGGCCGTAGGCTCAGGAAGCTGGGTTTCCACACACCTCGCCCTAGGCGAGCCGGTGCAGGTGGTCCGCGGACCCCACTTTGGGAAGTGCTGTTCCAGAGGCTGCAGGTGGTGGGCATCCATTGGTCTCACAGCCCCTCCTCCTTGATTTTAGCCTTAACCTGGCATCTTTATGGGTCAGGTGGGAGAGTGGGGGTCAGGGGCTGGCTAGGAAATATAGTCATGAAGGTCGTGTCTACTCTCTGGATGGTTTGTGCTCAAGGTCTTTTCTAACCGCCTTGATATCTGCTACACTGGAGTGCACCCAAGTCCCGTGTTTCGTGATCCCCAACTACAGGGACCGAGCCCTTCCCTCCCCGCTCTGGCCGCTTGTTTTGGCATCGCTGTAGCCAGGATGTGTGTATATCTGCCATGGACTTGAAGCTTCGTAAGAGCAGAAACTGGACCTATTTACCTCTGATGCCCACACCTAACATGACCCGTGGCCCAGGCATGTACTAAGTAAGTGTTAAAGACAGGAATTCACCCTGGCTCGTTTGGCTCAGTGGTTAGAGTGTTGGCCTGTGGACCAAAGAGTCTTGGGTAGGATTGCGGTCAAGGCTCGTAATTTGGTTATGGTTTGGTCCCTGGCCCTGGTTGGGGTTGTACGGGAGGCAACCAATTGATGTGATTCTCTCATCTCTCTCTCTCTCTCTCTCTCTCTCCCCCCCACTCTCCCACTCTATCTGAAGATAAATGGGAAAATATCCTCAGGTGAGGTATAAAAAAAAAAAAGAATGGGATACATTTTTTTACCATATTAATAATGGTTTCATTACTATTAATAATTAATGTTATTAAATATTAATCTTACTCTTTTGCCCAAACTCTGGTGTTTTCTGAAGCTCTGCAGTGTGAGCACAGGAAAGGTTTGGAGTCTCCAGCTGGGCTAAGAGTAAATCTCTCTATTGTTTAAGACTCATGCTTTACATCCTAAAGATAGTCGGACGTGTATGTTCAGTATGGGACAGCGATTTTAGGCCTCTGTACATCACAATAGATGTCCTGCTCATTTGAACGCAAAACGAGAATGGATTTTTAAAAAATCAATTGCTGACATTGTTCAAAAAGAAAGAAACTAAAAGAGAAGGGAAGAGAAGAGAAAAGAAGAGAATGTTTGGCAGTCAGAACACATTTTTTAACTTCCAGGGCTGCTTTCTCGGTTCTTCCTCTTCTTTTTGGGAAGCACCTCTCCATTTGTTGTGCCATTTGGGATGGTGCCCTGGACTCCTTGCCACAGGAGTGTGGACAATGGACAATGCTTTCATTCCAGGGCTTGCAAAAAGGAACAAGGGGCCTGCCAGACACAGCCTCATGCCATCTATCTCTGCTATTTCCTGCCCCTGGGCAACACCTGGAGAGCAGGTCCTGGTGTTTGCTTGGCACGGTCAAGATCTGGTCTCCCTCCCAGCTCTTTCTTAACAGACTTCATTCATTTCGAGCGCCGAAGGGAACCAGATGGAAAAAGACGCCCTCAAGCCATCAGGCACGTGCAGGAACTTGTTCATGTACCCAGAACATGGGTCCTTTGGAGTGTGCGTCACTTGAACGGCATACTGCTCCCTGAAGCTGGACAACAGTCCCGGACTGTGGACAGATGCTCTCAAGGACCTACAGTCGTAGTGGGACTGTAGTGAATGGCATGGTGTGTACCCCAAATGACCTCTTCAGGACAAAGACACCCATTCCAGGTGTTGCCTGCTGGCTGCTCGCTACTGCACCCCGTCTCAGGGATTGTCTTCCAAGGAAGGAGCAGCCTCACCCAAGCTTGCAAATGCTTCTGGGCTGCCACCAGCCGGCTGCTGGACATGGGGTGCAAAGACCTGGCTCCTTGCCTCTCCTTTGGACATCTGGCTGCAGGGCAGGGCTCCTTGGGGACCAGCAAAGCCCCTGTTTTGACTGCATCATGTTCATTCTCTTTCTTGTCCAATGCTGCTTAGATGTGTTGTTCCCAAAATTATTCTATGAAAGCTTCCTGTGCACAGACCTCCATCCCTGATCTGTTTCCAGGCAGCCCAGCCCAAGTCAGGGACCTCCTAGCTCTACCTTACCAAGGGTTAAGTAGGCCTTCTGCAGATCCCCCGACGTCTCGGCTTCAATAGCCTCTTCAATGTCTTTCCCGATGAGCTGGAGAGACAAAGTGCAGCAGTCAGTTCAGGTTTTGCTTTGGGTGCACTTGGGGTTCTTCCTCCACAAAAAGCTCTGAACTGTCCTGGCCTCGTGGCCTGCAGGGCTGAAGGTGGTTCCCCCATTTGAGTGGGGGCTCTCATGGCTGAGCAGTTAATCCAGAGGTGACTGACCCCTAATGGACTTGACCCCAGACGGGACCATCCCTGCACCTCAATTTCCTCCTCTGTAAATTCAAGGAATGGAAGATCAATGTACTGTATCAATAATTCTGTATGTTTATATATGGTACTGAATTTCCTGTGTGTGTGTGTTTTTAATCCTCACCCGGGGATATATATTTTTTGCATTTATCTTCAGATAGAGCGAGAGAGAGAGAGAGGGACAAAGAAAGAGAGAGAGACATCGACGTGAGAGAGACACATTGATTGGTTGCCACCCACACAATCCCAACCGGGGCCGGGGACAAACTGCAACCAAGGTACATGCCCTTGGCGGGGACCAAACCCGGGACTCCCCGGTCCGTGGGCCGACGCTCTAACCGCTGAGCCAAACTGGCCAGGGCTCCTGTGTGCTTTTAAAAGTTCTTTCCGTTTCTAATTTTCTAGGAGGCTATAGCTATAATCTTCTTACCCACACCTTCCTCGTCTCCTTTGCCCTGAGACTGGGGCCTCCGTCTCCTACAGTTGGGGTGAACTGGGGAGAGGCCGTGAAGTTCACGGTGGGAACTGGTCTGATGTTTCCGGTAGAGGGAGGCTGTGGGGGCCAGATGCAGGGGCTGCCCCCTGGTCCAAGTGCCACCCCCCTCCTCTGGGCTGATCCCAGATGCTCCTGATTTCACCACCAGCTCACACATCACTCTGTACAACATCACATCAGGTTTCTTCCCAAATATTTACAGAAGCTGAAGCTCAGAGTGAAGTATGACCAGGCTTAACACAAGCATCGCCTGGGCCACGCTCGGGGCAGGCAAATAGAGAGAAAGGAGAACTTTTCCTTGGGTTTGGGAACCGCGTCTAGGCATTAGAAATACTGAAACATCTTTCTTAGAAATTATCTTTAGAGGATATGACACAATTGTGATTCTATAAATAACTGGGGCCCCAGGGACACTCCAGTGGAGTTGATGTAGTTTGGTCTGAAAACACAGGTAAAGGAAATATTCTTTGTTATGCGAGCACAACAGATGTGGGGGAGGAGGGCCCAGATTTTATGAAGCCCTGTTGCTTGGTCTCCTCACGGTTTGCACGTCGAGGGGTCTGGCGTGTGGAATGGATTAGAAGTGGATTGGGTTGGGGGCTTCCATCCCGTCCTTCCCTTAGCTGTCCCCAGCCTTTCTGGGGTTTCATGTGGGAGCTTTATTGACGTGTTTCAGAAGGAACTGGTATCACTTTCCCATGAATGGGGTTCTTGTTCCGTGGACTGAGATTGCATTTCAAGAGGACATTGTATTCATGCAGGTCTGTGTTTACTAAAGAAATCCTCACATTAAAACACTTTCTGTTTCTATTGTTAATACTGGGCCAGACAGTGCTTTTCAATGTTCTGTGGAAGCTTAGCCTACACAACAGATAAATGCAGCAAAGCAGAGCTGTTCTGGGGAGGCGGGAGACGGGTTCCTTACTCTGGCCCTAGGTGGTGATGCCTGGTTTCTGCCCTCTCGGGGTCTCTCCTGTGCAGCGCAAGGGGGCACTATTCACACAATGCAATAAGAAGGCATCGCTCCCTCTTCTCCACCCTCCTCCTCCCCCACCCCGCTCCTGGTAGCTACTAAGGCACCTCCAGGGGCTCCATGGAACACAAATGAAAATCAGTCGATTGTCCCAAGCAATTGTGACTCTCCTTGGCAAATGGTACACTTTTCACTTCCTGGAACACTTAATTCTTAGGGGGCTCTTTGGACAGAACTGGGATTTCTGATCTTCGTACAGAAACACGTTACTAGGGTGAATTCCAGACAGACCTCAAAGGCTTCTAGTTAACCAGGTAGAAGGATTATTAGAAAAGAGAAGACTAAGCCCGGCCAGTGTGGCTCAGTGGATTGAGCAGTGTCCCATGGACTGAGAGGTCCTGGTTCAAATCCCAGTCAGGGCACATGCCCTGGTTGCAGGCTCAATCCCTAGTGGGGGGAGGGCAGGAGGTAGCCGATCGATATTTCTCTCTCACATCGATGTTTCTATCTCTCTCTCCCTTAAAAAAAATCAATAAAAACATAATTCTTTTAAAAAAGAAAAAAATAGAGAATTAAAACCAATTCCTCAAAATTGACAGCATGCCCCCAGCAGAACCCTACAAACTGGCTTTGGCTACATGAGTTAGAGGGCGAAGGATCTGGATTGGGTTCAGGGACACCTAAAGGGGAGAGGAGAAATGGTGAGGGCGTGGTGGGGAGGCAGTGAGCCTGGGCAGACAAAGGACAAAAACCCGAGTTTTTGTGCCAAAAATTAAAATTCAACTCTATACCGGGACAACCTATGCTCCAGTGATCAGACAATAGCCGCTCAGTGCTTTTAGCCAGAGACCATGAGAAAACCCGAAGGGTGAGATCAGGATAAAGATCAAGATGAATGATGTCCCAGCAAGGTTTTTGGAATAGATGAATCAGTAGCATTTTTGAACTGGTTTCATGTAAAGAATCATCAAATCAATAGACTATCTTATTGTCCATTTAAGTTTTAGCTCTGATTTAAAATTTTTTTTAAAAGTTATTTTAGAGCCCTGGCTGGTTTGGCTCAGCGGTTAGAGCATTGGCCAGAGAGACCCAGGTTCGGTTCCCGCTAAGGGCACGTACCTCGGTTGCAGTTTGTCCCCGGCCCTGGTTGGTTGTACGGGTGGCAGCCACTCAATGTGTCCCTTTCACATTGATGTTTCTCTCTCTCTCTCTTCCTCTCTCTCCTTCCCACTCTATCTGAACAAAAAAGTGGAAAAATGTCTTCAGGTGAGGATTAAAAAAATTTATTTTAGAGAGAGAGGAAGGGAGAGGGAGAGAGAGATAGAAACATCAATGGGAGAGAACATTGACTAGCCACCTCCTGCATGCCCCCCCACTGGGGATTTGGCTCACAGCCTAGGCATGTACCCAGACTGGGAATTGAACCAGTGACCTCTGAGCAACCCAGGCCGGGCTAGCTCTGCTTTTTAACACTGTTGGTTCACACAGAGAAACTCTTCACAATTTTTATGTTCATTGGGCACCTGTTGCATGTGTGAGACTGGGTGCTTTACTTCTGTTACTTCGTTTAATTGTTACCAACCCAATAAAGTAGGTACTAGTATTATCCCTATTCTACAGTTGGAGAAACTGAGACACAGAACCTTTAGTAACTTCTTAAGGTAATATAGCTAATAGCATAGAGCTGAATTCTTCATCAGAATCTGGAAATTTGTTCAAACACAGATTGTAGGTCTCCAACCCCAGAGAATCTGACTCAATAGGTCCAGGGTGGGGAAGGATAATTCTTATTTTTAACAAATTCTCAAGTGACTTTGATGCTGCTGTTTCAGGGTTAATTTTGAGGATGATTGGTCTAGAGGGGATCCTTAGTCAGGTACTTAGTAGTGATTGCACACACAAGCGCACATACACGCTCACACGTATGCGGGTCTCTATAGTCATCAGCAATGACAGCCATCCTCAGAACCTCCATCCATGGCCCCAGTCATCTGGGAAGAAGGTCGAGGTCATGGAGAAGGTTTTCAACTCAGTCTCCACAGCTCCAGGCACAGAGGTCTGTGGACTGTGGGGTCAGCTGCCTTTGATCATGACTCTGGGCACGATTTGAAAGCAGAGGGCCCTCAAGGCTTATATACAGCGCTGATAAAATTCCAAAGCTTTATTGTCTTTTCATTTGCTGGCAACACATAGGAAACGCTATTTTGAGTGAGGAGCAGCCAGCTCCAGCAGAGGTAGGAGCTCAGGCTGGGGAATCTTGGAGTTCTCATCCACTCTCTGCTACCGACTTGCTGTGTGGTCCTGGTAAGTTACAGCTGGCTCCTTACAACAGCCTTCCCTTGTCCAGTGGTTGTGGGTAACAATGGCCGTTCAGCCTCCATCATAGTTACAGTATTGTTGTGAAATTAAAATGAGATACAGGGCACAGAAGTGCTTTGAATAGTTAAAAGTACTCTTCAAATAGGAAATTAGAGACCAAAATAAAAGTTTTTTCATTTGATACTCTTCAAGACGCTTCTTGAAATTAAAGACCAATTTTTAGGGAAGGGCTCACCATTAAGTGCCTTAAAATAGCTAACTCACCTTGTTGCTTAAAATTATCATTAGATTAAAAAAATAACTGTATATGCCCTGAGCAGTGGTTAGAGCGTCAGCTTATGGACCCAAGAGTCTCAGGTTAGATTCCCGGTCAAGGGCATGTACCTTGGTTGCATGTTTGATCCCTGGCCCCAGTGGGGTCGTGTGGAAGGCAACCAGTCGATGTATCTCTCACACACTGATATTCTCTCTGTCTCTCTCCCTCCCTCCTACTCTATCTAAAAAAAAAATCCATAAAAAAATTTTCCTTCAGTGAGGATAAAAAAATAAAATAATTATATAAAAGTAATTTATACCCATCTTTTCAGGAGCGCATCTCAGGTATGCGACATCCATCTTGGGAGTGGTAAGCACTGTAAATTAGGATGATAATAATAGCAAACGTCTGTGTGCTCAGCACACGCCCCGTGCTGTCCTGAGCGGTTTATGCTTATCTTATTTAGCTCATGAAACAACCCTCTGAGGGTGTACTGGTGAGGATCACGGCTTCTGCTTTACAAATCAGGATGGAGAGGCGGGTCACTTGCCAGAGAGAGAACCAGGATCTGGACCTGGACGCTCTGATTTTCAAGCTTGGCTGCTGAACTCGACCCTTCTCCCCTTTCCTAGCCTCTGTTACAAAGCAGTGCTTCGGGGCAGGACATGTGGAGCTGGCTGATTCTTCGTCGGAGGGGATTGTCCTGTGCATGGTGAGATGTTTAGCAGCATCCTGGCCTCCGCCCACTAGATACCTGTAGCACTCAGTGTGATAACCCAAAATGTTCCCAGACATTATCAAATATCCCTTGGGGGGTAAAATGACCCCAGTTGAGAACCACTGTTGTAAAACAAACCCCCAGCCCCCAGTTCCATATCCCAGGTTGTGGTGTCTCTTGGAAATAACTTAAGACTCAGTTTCCAGGTGAACTCCTTGCCCTGGTGTTGATTACTCACAATCTGATAGGCTTGAAAGGTGGCTCGTAACTGCTTGTAGCTCCTCTTGGCCAGGACTTCATTGAAGGCGAGTTCATCAGTGCCCCAGCGGCCTTCCCCTGCCTTGGGGGGTCAATACAAACATTCTGTAAAAGCCTTTTTGCAAAAAGAATGAATAGACAGTGCTGGGACTAGGCCTCACATACAGGAAATGATAAAATATACTTTGAATAGAAGCCAAATTGATTGACTAAACAATTTAAACATCTAACCCATGAGGATACTTTACTTATTGATTTATATTATTTATACATCCCCCCCCCCCCCACACACACACAAATTACAAGATGGATCTGAGGTGTTTAACTCCCAAGTGTAAGAATAGGAATAATTCTTTTAGGTTTATGAAGACTATCTATATGGAAAATATTTTAAAGATCAAATATATTTCCTGAGTAACCCATTTGCATGCAATAAAGAAACGTTTGTTGAAAATAATGCTAATACGTTTTGAAAAGATTTTGCCGAGACTAGCATGCCTGCACACTTACGTCATACAGCTCTTTGGCATCCTGACCAGCTAGATCTTCGTCCACATCATCTCCTTCATCACGATTAGCCTAGCAAAATCGACACACTGTTATGAACTTGAGTTTCTGCCTGACCACAGAAAGCAAAAAGGGGAAAACTGGGGGTGCTGTCAGAGGCGTGACCTGGAGTCAGCCTGGCGAAGTGCTGCTCTTTGCTGCCATCTTTTGGGCACTACTGATAAACAGAGTCGTGTCGCGACAACGCTTGATTTTCCTTTTTTTGGGGTAAAGATCAGGTCACTCACAAACCCCACTGACCTCTTAAGCAGGCTGAAAGCAACCCCACAATGTCCCCTAGAGTCAGTCCATTGGAAAACTAATAGTCTTCCTTCCAAAATATCAAATTTCACCTCTTAGGGTCTCAGTCCTGAAGAGCCCTGCATGTTGGTCACGGAAGGTCTTGAAGTCTAACCTAAGCCCTTAGGGGCAGAGAGGAATCTAAGATGGCCCTAATGGCCCACACCTTTGGATAATCCCTTTCCCTCGGTGTGGGCAAGATGTGTGACTATAATGAGCTATGCTCTTGTGATTATGTTGTGTTAACATGGCAAAGGGGATGTTTGCAGAAGTGATTAAGATCCCTAATCAGTTGAGTTCATCAAAAGGGATGTTTTCCTGGTGTGTCTGACTCAATCAGGTGAATTCTTAAAAGGTCAAATATGGAAGAAGTCAGAGAGATGAGCTCCTGCTGGCATGGAAGAGACCAACTGGCCATGCTTTGAACTGTCTATGGGATACATGACAGGGACTGCAGATGGCCTCTAGGAGCTGACAGTGGTCTCTGGTTGGCAGCTAGCAAGAAAACAGGGACATCAGTTATACAGCCACAAGGAACTGAAACCTGCCAACCACCAGTGAACTTGGAAGAGGACCCAGATCCTTAGATGAAATGGTGGCCCTGGCCTGACACCTTGATTTCAGCCTGGTGAGACCCTGAGCAACACTGTGCTAACCTGTAACAGGATCCCTGACCTATAGAAATGGTGAGATCATAGATCTGTGTTGTTTTGAGTTGCTACATTTCTGGCAATTTGTTACACAGCAGGAGAACGTATATACTTCGTGCTACAGTCTATCCACAAGGAGAGGCAGGAAACAGGAAATGCGCAGAGCTAATAAGACAGATGTCTCAATAAGGGTCCAGGTGCCATCTGGCTGGAGGCCTGGGAGCTGTGTCCTTGCAGGGCCAACTCTGAAAGCCCCCCTTTCCTGGCCACACTCCCTGCAGTGGTTCTTACCGACGGAGCCTTGGGGTGAATCCTGGAAGTAAGTACAGGGTTATGTTGTGGAAAGTGCCCTGTGTGGGGTCAGATGGTCTGGTTCCGGCTCTTGGGCTGTATCTTACTGTGTGTGAACCCGGGCAGGTTACCCATCCTCTCCAGGCTTGGCAAAACGAGGTGGTGATGCTTAACGAGATAACTCACCGATTTTCAACCTGTTTCATCTCATGGCACGCATACACTAATTACTACAATTCTGCGCCACACCAAGAAATATCATTTTTGCTGACATGGCAAAAAAATAGGTATAATTTTGATTCATTTAAACCAGACAGCTATTGTTGTGCTGGATGCTGTCATTTTTAAATTTAACAATCTAAGAGAAAAGAGGTCAGTGCCCCTGACTAAATAGTCAGGTATTGCGTATTTTAAAAATTCTGTGGCACACCAGTTAAAAATCTCCGAGATAACTCATTAACAAAAAGGGATTGTGAGCTGCAAATGACTAGACAAATTATTGTTGTGAGAGAAAGCCCAATTAAAACAATTTCATAGTAGCTGATCTGACAGAACCTGGGTTGATGATCCCTTGGTAACTTTTTTTAAATCCTCACTCGAGGATGTTTTTCTATCTCTCATCAGATAGAGTGGGAGGGAGGGAGGGAGAGAAACATCGATGTGAGAAAGACATGTCAACTGGTTGCCTCCTGCATGACCCAACCTGGGCAGGGGACGAACCGAAACTGAGGTAGGCGCCCCTGACTGGAATCGAACCCGAGACTCATTGGTCTGCGGGCTGACGCTCTAGCTGCTGAGCCAAACCAGCCAGGGCCTCGGGAACATTTTTAATAAAAGAAGGAAATATGAACTATCCACATGGCCTTTTCTGGTCACGGTACCAAGTTGCCAAGGGCTATTTCCCCAGATAAGCTCATAAGACCTCTTCGCTCTTACCTGTAGCAGGGACACCAGTATTTTTTTTAGGTTTCCACTTGTATCATCTTTGACATCTGATTCAAGGCTCCTGTCAAACACTTTTCAAGAAGGAAAATGGAGATAAGAAAGCAGAGGATTTGGTTTCCCAGGGGTATTTTGAAAGGAACATTCTTGATCTGAAGTCAGAACAAAAGGTTACTTACACCTTTGGTAGGCCTCTTTAATGGCGACAATTTCCTAGAAAAGGTAATAAAGAAAATCAATACTCCAAGGTGGGTTAATTGATAAGATACAGAGAGACACACAGAGGGAAGAGTCAGGGGCACAGGATGCTTCCAAAGAAGGCCAGACTATGGGGCAGGGCCTAGGCCTGGAGCAGGTCTCTGGAGGTATGAAGGGGCCTCTCCATGCACACATTTCAAACCACACAAGTAAGGTATGTGAACATTCTTTTTACCTACAGATAAAAATTGTTAAAGCTAAGCTAACCTCTTCCCTTACTTCCTCACCGCATCTCACGCCGCCAACCCCACCCAGGTAGCCAGTGTTAGAAGTTCGTTGCATATCTTCGCAAATATTTTTCTTTGCCTTTGTATACATATATGTGCTACTGAAAATATATCAGGATCGTTTTGTGTGTGTGTTTGAAAAGTGGAATACTGAACATATTGTGCTTGAATTTATTTTTTCACTCAATCATGTATCTGGGATGCTTATACATCCCAGCCATGCTTATACAGAGTTAGTTACCTAGTGTTTTTTAAATGGATACAAAATGTTCTGTCCTGCAGTAAACCACAGTTTGTTTAGCCAACCTCCAATTGATGGGCATTTAAGTTGTTTCCAATTTTTCCTATTTCAAGGGAGGCTTTATTCAGTAAACAATTTGTTGGGTGCAGGAGTATGAGTTTGTGTACAGGGTGCGCCCTGGGAACAATTGCTTTATATGTCAATGACTGGTGCCAGACGGTCCACTCAGCAGCTGCCTCAGTTTACATTTGAACCAGTGGTGTGTAAGGACAGTATCATCTGCAGGCTGTTTAAAATGACAGTCAGGCCCTGGCCCGTTTGGCTCAGTGGTTAGAGCGTCGGCCTGCGGTCCGGAGAGACCCGGGTTCGGTTCCCGCTAAGGGCACGTACCTTGGTTGCAGTTTGTCCCCGGCCCTGGTTGGGTCGTGTGGGTGGCAACCACTTGATGTGTCGCTTTCACGTCGATGTTTCTCTCTCTCTCTCTCCCACTCACTCTATCTGAACAAAATATCGAAAAATGTCCTCAGGTGAGGATAAAAAAAAAAAAACTTATAAAATGACAGTCAGCCTGCAGAGATGGGAGGAGGTGGGGGAGGCGGGTGACCAGAAGTGAGAAGCCTGCCCCCTGCACTTTGGTGGGTGGGAGGGAGGTGGATGGGGGTGGTGGTGACCACTTGTGTCTAAGCGTCTTCCTGCCCTTTCTCCTCCTTCCAGTCCGCCACCAGGATCTGCCTAAACGCAGGGACCCAGGGCCTGCTCTCTCGCTCGCTCTCTGCATTTCTTCTTTTTACTGTCAGACCTACTCGCCTGAAAATAAAGGGCTTTGCTTGTTGTTTGAGACCAGGACCTGAAAGAAGCTAGGCCGCGAGGGAACAGCATTTGGCCAAATAGAATTAGAAAAATAATGATCTAATTAACCTTCTGGCCAGGGCAGGCTGCGGATTGCCCTGACCTTGGAGCGGACCGAGTGCTTCTGGACAGGGTGGGAACGCCGAGTAGGGAAAGCTGGGTGACCACTGGGTGACCACTGGGCTGAACGAATGCCACCCTCCCCTAAGGCACAATCCTAAACGGAAACGCCCAGAACTGGAGGGTTTTCCTGATCTGAGAGGAAGTAAAGAAGTCTAGGCGAGCTCTGGAGAGCGGTTTGCAGCTGTGGCCTGACGCACGAGGCACATCTGGAGCATGTGTCTGGACGGCGCAGGCTCGGCAGAAGCAAGCAGCTCGGGCCGGTGGCTCGCAAGGCTTCCTGGGCGTTTTCGTGGCGAAGCATCACTGCTTCTGCTTCCTACCTGGCGGCCTCATGAATGCTGGGATTTTCTGGCATTTTTCTGGCTGGGCCTCCCCATTTTACTGTGATGGGTGTTTGTGGAAGAGGGAGGCGGTCTCCAAAGAATGATTTGTAGACCCCCTTTACTCTTGATGAGCTCCTTCGCCCTCACGGTTTCTGGAACCAGAGACAAAGGGGCTTCCACTGGGGCCTTAGCAAGTGTTTTTTCCAGCTACTGAAATGTGACCTGAGCGCAAGGGACCAGGGGAGAGGTCTGCAGCTAGAAGGACACAGGAACATCCGGAGAGGTCCTGGCAGCCTTGGGATCCCCTGCACCACCCACCTCTCTGCCTCCTTACAGTCTTGCCTACTGCACATAAAACTGTGCATCATTTACAAAAACAAAGTCTGCATTGGTACAGCTCTTCTGGAAGGATCTATTATGTCAAGCCAGTGGCAGTAACCTAAAGAATGACAGCCAGAGGATTGGAAGGGACATCTCCCCTGCACGGGCCAAGCAGACAAATTTCTGCCCAGACACTTGCTGACCCCATGGGAGGAATGCAGGTGTCCTTTCCCCTCTGGTGCTGCCACCATCTCTGAGGGGAGTGTGGATGCTCCCTTGAAGGCTGGGCCTGAGGGCTTGGCTGGGACTAACCTCATTGGTTCTGGTGCACAGGACCTCGATGAGCATTGCCTCATCCGTGCCCAGACCCTTCATGGCCTTCTGCAGCTGCCGGGCATCGTACTCGCTGGGGCGGTCCAGAAGGGCCAAGGCTGTCTTCTTGAAATTTCCACTCAGCTCACTCTCGAGCACCTCCTTCAGTTCCTATGGGAAGACATCGAAAGCCCTGACTAGGAATGGCCTGAGAGGAGAGGGGCAGGTGTCTGCTGTCCCCACTGCTCAGCCTCGGGGTCCACGAGAAACCTGCCATGGTCATCGGAGGGGTGATTGAAACCCCTGGCTACCCATCCACTGCCCCCAGGACTGGCAGAGGAGCAAAGAGACGATCCCCAAAGGTGAATCACAATATCAAGCAGCATTTGCAGAGTATTTGGGGGTTCAGGGAGCTTTCTCCTTGATCCTCGAAATGGCTCTGGCAGGGGAAGTATTGGCATTATCCCCATTTACTGACCTCAAAAAAGATGAAGGACTCGCCCCCAGCACTCAACCAGAAAGGACTGAAATACAGGTTTGTAATTTCTAGGGGAAATTCGTCACCGACTCGTCTGTTACCCAAATGGGAATGCTTTGGAGAGTTAAAGGGGGCACTGTTGATCATTTCACAGGACACTGGGAATAAACAGGGACCTTCTCAGGCAAACCAGACGTGTGGTTTTTTGTTAAATCCTGAAAGGGACACTTAGTAGCTGTCGAAGCTGTCGCAGTCTCACTGTGCTTGTGTCCAAGTCACCCCTATTTTACTTAATCATGCCACATTCCCATAACTTTTATTGCAGTCTGTTGTTATAATTGTTCTCTTTTCTTATCCGTTCTGGTTGTTAATCTCTTCCCGGGCCTCATCTGTAAGTCAGATGTTAGCACAGAGGCGTGTGCACAGGAGAAGACAGTGTATGTCAGGGTTCGGTACTGTCTACAGTTCAGGCGTCCTCTGAAGGTCTTGAAACGTGTCCTCTGTGGCCAAGCAGGAGCCTACTGTATGTAAAACTGCGGAGAAAAGCAATCCAGCTGTCTATTCTTATAAGCCACAGGCATGATAACAAACCCTCGCACGTTTACATTCTGTTTGGACACGGAAGCTGGCTCTGGGTGCCTCAGCCCTCATCCTGGCTCTTCTGCTCACTAGCTGCGTCACCTTGGGACGGGTGTTCTCTCTGGAGCTCAGCTGGCATGGGGGCTTGGGCTTGTTCGCCTCTGACGTCCTCCAGCTTCGTGATGCTGTGATTCTGGACCACGTCTCTGGCAGGCTCGGCTGTCTGAGAACTGGAAAGCGGGCACGTGATTGGCAGGTGCTGGTATTGCAAATTTGCGCCAGGGCCTGCACACTTTGTCTTTATCAGAGCCCCGAGGCCCTCCTTTGAACCCGTTTGTTCGCATTTCACAGTAAGACAGCGGCAGCCTGTTTCTGGTGGGAATGGACGCGGCACTGGACAGGCTGCAGTCAGTTAGACAAGCTGGCACCAGTGAAGGCTCAGTCACTCAGCTCATGAAATGCAGCTGAGCCCGAGGGTCACTTCTTTTCCTCAGAGTCATCACTGGATGCCATTGACAAGCCGGATTGTGGAGAGAGACACAGGAAGACTATAAGCACAGCCATCTGGGCCACTTGGTATAGAAATAAACAGCTCATCTCGTGACGATGGCTTCTCCAGGAGTGAACTCTGGCCCCGGAGTCCGGAATTGGAGTCCTGGTTCTTTTTCTTACGTGTGATTTTGCATAAGTCACGTAAACGAATGAGCGCGGCTCTCCCTTTCCAGAATGGGAGCATCGGTCCCCTTTGCTGGACGTGCCGGCGTTACCCTGCTGGATCCCAGAACTTAGAAGGAGGTGAACTGTCACCTCTTCCCATATGTGAGGAGGCTGAGGCCTAAAGAGATGGTTGCCCGCCCAGTGTCAAATAAGTCAGAACATCCTTCTCTCTGTCTGTTTATACAGAGAGTGAGTCAAACTGTAAGTAGGGGCTGCATAAATAGGGGTTAGAATACATTATAATAATTAACATTCACTCTGTAGACTACCCTTTCTAGTGACGTTAGAAAGAGGTTAAATTGTGTTCATTATATAGTCATAAAAAATATAAAGCCTAATGCACACTTAACAATTTCTATACATAATGCCATCAACAAAAAAAAAAAAAAAGAAAGAAAAATAAACAAATTAAAAAGGTGATGCTTAATGAAATGAAGATCTTTTTTTTCCTTTTTAGTTTTCCGTAACCATCATTTATGAAGGCTATAACATTCCTGAAGACAGCTGATAAAAATGAAGAATTCTTATATAAAGACCCACTCGTGAAAACTGATTTTCAAATCCCTGGCCTATCTGTAAGTTGATATGTGGAATTAGTCAAAATGAGTGGGAAAAAATGACAGAGGGCGTGGTAGAAAAAAATGAAGTCAATTTGAAAAAACAACGAGTTGAAGAATACTGGTTTTATAGGCTATCAAGTTAACTAGGCAATTTCAGTTTTTCTGAAGTCAATTAAAGTTTTAAATAGTTATTTCTTTTTTCTCCTCTTGGGCTAACTCAGTAAAGCTGTGAAGATACTCTCCTCTCCTGGGGAACAAAGAAGAAGCAGAGACCGCCAAGGCCCAGGCCGTGTGCACGCCTGCAAAGACCCTCAGAATCACCTTGCCGTATGTTGCCTGGTACTTTTGCTTTATTTGTTGCCTCTGATTCGATGTCCTGCTTGATAAGATTTCAATGATGGTTGCTTCATCAGTTCCTAAAAGGCAAGAGAGAGAAGCAAAGCAAGTGTGAACAAGAAACAAGATGAGATTTATTTTAATCAGGTCTGACCAGGGCGATGGTCAGAGGCGGCTGTGACACCTAGGTGGACCCTTTAGTTTTGATGTCTTGTGGAGAACGGTATTCTTTTCACTCATTTGACAAATATCCATGGAGGCCTTCCACTGTGTGAAGCACAGTGCCAGGCATTGCAGTGGTAAAAGGAAGGAGTGTGGCCTGTTCCTCATTTTCACCCCTAGGGATATACTCAAGAGAAATGAAAACAAATGTCCTCACAAAACTTGTACGCGAATGTTCATTGCATCATCATGTATAATAGCAAAAAGGTGGACACCGCTTGAATGTCCATCAGTGGACAAATGGATAAATGAAATGTGGTATAGCTATACAATGGAATATTATTTGGCCAGGAAAAAGGAGTGAATGCTGCAATATGAATCACTGCCAATCTTGGAAGAACACATGTTAAATAATTCCATTCATGTAAAAGTCCAGAATAGGAAAAGCCATAGAAACAGGACATAGGCTGGTGGCTGGGGTGAGGTGGATAGGGGACGGAATGCTAACGAGGGGAAGTTTCTTTAAGAAGTGATGAAAATTAGTCCGGCCCGTGTGGCTCAGTGGTTGAATGTCGACCTGTGCACCAAGGGATCGCGTGTTCAATTCCCGGTCAGGGCACAAGCCCAGGTTGTGGGCCTGATCCCCAGTGGGGGCCATGCAGGAGGCGGCCTATCAACGTTCTCTCTCTTTGATGTTTCTCTCTCTCTCTCAAATTAATAAAGAATTAAAAAATTAAATAAATAAAAAAAGAAATGATGAAAATGTTCTAAACCAAGCATGGTGATGGACTGTTTACTTAGTCTTAAGGATTAGTTCCACCTTTACAATTCTGGTAAGATCTAGTTGTTCAATTTCAATTAGAGAAACAGAACATTCTAGGATGAGCTCGCTTGTAAAAAATAGTAGGGGTTAATTGCCTCCCTCGTTCTGGCTGAGTTCCAACACCGTTATTTCTATTGTTCCTCTTCATTTCCTCCTGTAGCGTCACCTACGTAATGTGTATCCAGTTACGTCCTCTGTGACATTTATTTAAACTGAGTGCCAGAAATTTCACCTCCAAAGGGATTTCTTTGTCTTGTAAAAATGTCTTGAACCCGCCCCTTTCTTCCCATGTGCGCTGCTCTCGCCAGGGTCTGGGCCCCCGTATCTCACGCCTGGACCCTTACTGATGCCATCCCTGAAAAGAACCATCCTGCCTCCTCGGGATGGCCCACTCGCTGCATTGTGGCATTCAGGAATCTGGGGCCCTTCCAAGGACTCCTCTTTCCCCTCACCCCACATCCCGTAGGTCACCACTAAGACCTCGCTACGTCACCTCTCGGACCCACCCATTTCTCTCCATCGTCATCTCTGCCACGTTGCTCACAGAACTGGTGATACCCACACACATTTCCTGCCTCACTCTCGCCTTTTCTAATTGGTGTTCACTGTCCCCAGAGTGACCTTTCTGAGGAGGCTGCTCACGCCTCTGCTTCAAACCTTTCAATATAGGCCCCTTTAAACCCAACGTCTCCACTCTTTGGATGAGTTCCTACTTGCCTCTCAAAGTCTGGTCCCTCCCCAACCCCCACTCCCAGACCTCCCTTCCATCAGTTTTATAAATCATTTGCAGCTCCTAGAACAAGCAACGCTTTCTCGCTCACCTCTGGGTCTTCGCATGGGCTGTTCCTCTGCCTGGAACACCTTTATATTTGACCACCATGGTCACTCTTACTCCCCGTTTAGGACTCAACTCCCTGGCTAACATGGGCTGTTCTCCTCCTTCCTGTCTCTGCCACTCCACACTGCGGGCTCCATGGAGTGGGGAGTTCTGCCCGCTGCCACGTGTACAGAGATGGCTCAGTGTTTATCGAATGACTTGCTGCATGGATGGCTGTTCAAATGCTTGCATACATGGACGGATGGATGGCTGTCTGTCTGTCTGTCTGGCTGGCTGGCTGGGTGGATGAATGAATGAATGAGTGGAGAAGCTTGCACTGCATTATGACTAAACCTTGTCTCTGCCTTGGTGTAGGCTGCATGTACTACTCAGGTTGGCTGCATGTAGCAGGGACCACTAGGAAACCCTCTACTCTGATGCCATAGTAATTCATACCTGGATCATTCAGGAAAATCTAGTTAAAATGTAAAAAGTAATGTTTTTTACACTTTCCTTCCTGAAATGCTTTAGAAAGAGAGACCAGAGAGCAAAGCAGACCGGAGATGGCTCAGCAGCAGCCTGGAGGTGTGGAGAGGCATGGAAATGACTAGACTTCCCTCAAGCCCTTGGAGTCTGGGTCTCAGGTTTATCCTGGAAGCTGTTCCCAGTACCCGAGGAGCGATGAACTGAACAGTGACCTCATCTTACATTTCACAATATGCGTGTCACATAAGCAGTCTGTGCTGCCCAACAATTTCCTGTAAACATTTACAATGGTTTGAGGCACTGGGGCCAGTCCCCAGTGGTTCTGGGAAAGACTTTAAAATATGAGACAAGAAGGAACCTCACCCTGACCGTGCATTGGACACTGTCGGGTAATTACACAGCAGAGGTCAGGACGGGGTGATCATCAGCCTCGGGAGGGCTGGAGGGCCTCCTGGCTTCTGCTTTCCCAGTGATTTTCTGGGAAGATACCGAGCTGAGTTTCAGCAGGATGAAGGTCACTGGGTTTAAAGTGCCCTCCACTTCACACCGAGGGCCCTCGTGCCCGACGAGCGAGCCCCTCAGTGAGCCAGGGCAGGCGCTGTGTTCCCCGCAGGTCCACGTGCCCGCCCCACCCTGCCTCGCTGAGCCTGGGGGCTGCAGCCCCATCTTGGGTGCCTGAGAGCCAGTCTCTTCTGCGAACACCACTGGGCTTTCCTGCCCCTCCATCTCTCCTTTGGAAATGGAGGTGCAGGGAAGATAGGTGAAGTAATGATGGAGATTTGCCTGCCCGGGAAGGTCACTATGTTCTACTTGCTCACTGTATTAGTCTGTTCGTTTCCACAGACTCGGGCGCTTAAAACAACAGGCATTTTGTCCCTCACAGTTCTGGAGGCTAGGAGCCTGAATCGTGGTGTCGGCAGGGCCCCCTCTCCCGGGGCTCCGGAGGCTGCCCGCGCTCCTATTGTCCTTGGTTTGCGTCCCCATCGGTCCACTGTCTGCGCCTTCACTTGGCTTCTCCCTGTGTCTTCAATTCCGTCTCCTTTGAGGACACTTGTCAAAGGATTTGGGGCCTGCCCAGGTAATCCAGGATGATCTTATCTCAATATCCTTAATCCCATCTGTAAGGACCCTGTCCCCAAATAAGGTCATATTGCAGGTTCCAGAGGGACATGTTTGGGGGGGGCACCCTTCAACCTGGTACACCCTCAGCAATAGAGAATACAGATCGCTCGAGGGTGGGCCTGTTTCCTGCTCCTGCTGATCTAATGGGCTTTGTGTGGATTTTGGATCCAAGCAGGTTGTTGAAAAGGCAAAGATGAGCATGTAGTGAGGGCCAGGGAGGTGCTGGGCCCTGTGCTGCCTGCTTTTTCCTCAGTTCCTTCCTGTGTGGAGAATATTAGCCCCATTTCACAGATGTGAAAACTAAGGTCACAGCACCAGTAAGTGGCAGAGCAGTAACTCAAACCCAGGTCCAAAGTTCATTCTTATGCCTGGGGTGTGGGAAGAGCCGTGGGCCGAGGGTCACAGGGCTGAGCCCCAGGCCTGGCTCTGTTTCTACGTGGCTTGAGCAGCTTTGCTCGACTCTGTGGGTCTCAGATGGACTAGACCCTGCTCCCCAAAGTGTGGTTCCAGGACCTGCTGCAGCAGCACCACCCGGGAACTTACTGGAAATGGACAAGCTCAGAAACCACTCAGAACCACCCAGTCAGCACCTGCTTATTAACAATGACTCAAATGCGCACTAAGGTTTGAGAAGCTGGGGACTAGGTCATCTCCACGGCAACTTTCCCCTCCAAGAGCCCGTTTCTGTGAGGGAGAACGACAGGCATCCTTCTACATTTCAGGAGGGTGGTGGATGTTGGGGTCCATACACTCTCAGGACTAAGGCATTCTCTCTAGAAGGGCCCTGCTGGGATGGGGGCAGCGGAGGGGCACAGATCCCTGAGAGGAAGCCAGACGAAGAGCATCAGCATGGGCTGGGGGGTGGGGGAGGGGGGCTATTGGGGTGGTTAACCAAATCACCAGTATTTGGAAAAATCAAATATTGTCTTGTGGTACACCATTCTTATTATTTTGAATTGCGTGGATGACTGAGTGGGTAGAAAGTGCACCTAATAACCTCTTGGATGCCTGAGGCCTCTAGACCTTTTCTACTCGATACAGCGGATACCTGTGGTTATTGAGGACTTGAAGTGTGACTGGTCCAAGTTGGAATGTTCTGTAACGTGTAGAATGCACATGATATTTTGAAGACTTAATGTGGATAAAAAAGGATGTCAAATATCTCATTAATAATTTTATATTGATTGTTGAAATGATACTTCTGATATAGTATTGAGTTAACAGAAGTATGTTATTCAAATGAACTTCACTTGCTTTTTTTTTTTCTTTTAAAATTTGGCTTCTCAAAAATTTAAAGTGACACACATGGCTCGCCTTTGTGGCTGTTAGACAGCTTGGCCCTGGACGTTTAAATCCAGCCCTGGTAGGGATGGCACATCAATGAGATGGGGATGTGGTCTTGCTGGCAAATATTGCCAATGATGCTGTTTTGCTTTGGCATGCACTTCTTGGTAGAGGTTGGAATGCTAGACCTTCAACCAAATCATAATTTTCTTTTTTTTTTTATCCTCACCCGAGGACATTTTTCCATTTTTTGTACAGATAGAGTGGGAGGGAGAGAGAGGAAGAGAGAGAGAGGGAAACATTGATGTGAAAGGGACACATCGAGTGGTTGCCACCCGCACGACCAACCAGGGCCGGAGACAAACTGCAACCGAGATACATGCCCTTAGCAGGAACCGAACCCGGGTCTCTCCGGACCGCAGGCGGACGCTCCAACCGCTGAGCCAAACCGGCCAGGGCCAAATCATAGTTTCCTAAGATGGCCCTAGTTTCTGGTCACCCACCCTCACTTCATAACTCTTTGGTCTTGGGCAAGATATTTCACCTCTGAGCCTCTGCATTCTCCTCTGTGATGTTATTATAATACAACTTCACAGGGTTCTTGGGAGGATTATACAAAGTGATGTGTGTGCAGTATCTGGCTTGGCACTTGGCACGTAGGAAGTGCTCTGCAACTGTGACCAGCTCAAGAGTGGGCCCACCTTGTGGCCACATCCAAGGGGGTAGAGAACACTGCGTGACTTTGCCATTCAGTAGGTGCCCCGCCTTTGCTTACTGAACTATGCTCGCATGGTAGGCTGAGAAGGTGGGGATTTCTCTTTAACTACAGCTGAATCATTCCCACACCCACTTTAGCTCTTGGCTCCAACCCACATCCAGGTGTTAGGACCTCACTTGAGAGGCAGCAGGAAAGCACCTGTGAGGCTGGCCCAGTCACTCTGCAGAACCCAGAACTATAAACATCCTGTCTCCCGACAGTTGTTCAGATACAAGATCGGCCAGGTCTGAATATAAGCAAGGGGCAGCCTCTCTCTGCTGAGCTTTCCTCTGATGCCCCCAAACCAAGCAACCTAGTTGTCACCCTTCATTTCCAGCACATTTTCTTTTCCGCCCCTCCCCTCCCTTCCCCTCCCCACCTCCCCTGCCCTCCTCTTCCCTCCTCTTCCTCTCTCTCTCTCTGATTATTTAAGAATACTATGATTTAAGAAATCCCTTCTACCACTTCTTTTCCAGATCTTCTTCAACCCCAACTCCTTTGAGACTTCTCCAACGTTTCTTGGGCAAGGCAGATTATTCTATAGTTAGACTGTTCCTTATATTGGAACAAAATATGTCTTCTTAGAACTGCCCCCTTGGAGCCCAGTTTTTCCCTCTGCAGTCACACAAAGAATTTATAGCCACAATACTCATTCCTATGAAAGTAAATCTCCACTAATTTACTTCTAAGGAAAAATGTAGCGCTTATTTTCACAAAACATTAAGCCTAGTGAAAGAAGCCAGACACAAAAGGTCCGATTATATGATTCCATTTACATGACATATCTGGAATAGGCAAATCCATAGAGACAGAAAATAGATCAGTGACTGCCTGAGTCTGAAGAGAGAGAGGGGACTTGGGAGTGGCTGCTAATGAATCTGAAGTTTCTTTCTGGGGTGAAGAGAATGTTCTGGAATTAGCAATGATGGTTACATGACGCTGTAAATATACTGAAACTCAGGCTTCTGGGACGGGAAACTTATTTCACCGGGAATCTCCCTGGGTCCCAAAGCCTCTCTTCATGACCTTATTTTTAGATGCTTTCTCCTTCGTCCTTCCTTGTTACTGGGGTTACCTTTCTCTTGATCTCTTGCTTGGTTTCCCATTCTTGGCCATGCACTTACCGTTAAGCCTGGACATAAAGAGCTTCTCCAGTTTTGATCCTTGGTCCTTGACCTTGGCCACAATTTTATGTTCACGTGATCTACTTATAGATGCAATTTCCAGATTCCTAATTCATCTCTCATCAGACCTGATTCCCACCACCTCCCATTTAAGGATCAGAGAGGTTTCGATGACATTAGGATTGCATGAACTATACTTCTCATGAAGTTTCTTCTACCTCTAGGTCAAATTAAATGTCGCACTACCCAATTTCTAACTGTTGTATGGAATCCTGAATAGCAATAGGATCTGATTGTAACTTTGAAATCTTTGATAAAGAGAACCTTAGAAGTAATCAACTTGGGTTAGCCTGGAAAGCACAAATTAACTGGGAAGTCACCTTCCTAAGATGATGAGAAAATTGGACATGAGATCAAATTTAATCAACTTCAAAAGTGAATTAGCCAACAAAACATCTTTCATACCCATTCCTTTGCAGGCTTTGTTCAGCTTTTTGGCATCTTGATTCACATCAAAACCCTGATGACTTCTCTCTTTGTCCTAGAGAAAATAATTGAACAGGTGAATGGACAATAATAGGCATTCTTAAAGCATCTATGGCCAAACTCGTCGCTAATTGAAAGAACAAGCAGGTATCCAAATGAGGGACCAGCTGCCACTTTACATGTGGTTACGTGTGGAAATCAGCTGGGAACACTCTGGCCCCAGAGAAATGGCTGGTACTCCTTAGAGCCAACTGGACTTAGATGACCATGAAGAATGAGCCCCTCTGTCCTCCAAGACAATCAGCCTGGCCAACTCTGAGATGAGTGATTTTCATATCAAACCTACCTTTGTATCTCTGAAACAGAGCGGAATACAGTGGGCCAATGTCTGGCAATGTCGATTCTCCCTTTTGCCATGAGACACCAGTATGTCTAGGGCACAGGTGTTGCCAGCCAGAAACTGAGGGTTCTAGGATCTTTTACAGATCTACTTGGTGACCTAGGCTAATGCTTTGCCATTCACACAACGAAAGACATACACTTTATTTTACTATTTTATAAGGAGTGCTTCACGAACTTGCATGTCATCCTTGTGCAGGGACCTGCTCATCTTCTCCGTATTGTTCCAAGTTTTTAGTATGTGTGCTGCCGAAGCGAGCACAAGAGACATATATTTAGTTTGTCAGAGATAACACACAGACCAGCAATGGCATGGTGACTGCTTTTTACTGCTCCTTGGGGAAAGCATAGTCTGTTTATGCACTAAGCTAATGTTGCTCATACTTCAGTCATTGGCATAATGCAGGCACTGATTTGTCCGCAGCTACTTAAGTCTATATTATTATTTGCTTCTTATTTTGATTTCAACTGATCTACTTGGTTTTACTTCAAGTTATTTAAAGAAGGAAACTTTCTGTGAGCACTAACATGGGAAACCAGTATCGGTTGCCCAAACAAAAGGTAAACATGACCATAAAGGCATCACTATAAAGAAAAGTAAAGATGTGAGGTTAATTGCGGTTATGCAAATAGGAGCTTTGAACACACCCTGCCCTTCTCAGTGCTTTGTCTTTCCTCACAGAGGCTGTCTTTGAGGCGGCCTGTCGCTCTTCCCCACCTTCAGTGGAGGCCGGTGTGTGTGCTCCTGGCTGCACGGCTGCTTCCCCCTCCCTCCCTCCCTCCGGTCCCGAGGCTCCTGTTGGCAATGAGTGACACACCCCATAAGGCACAGTGGGCACGAGGCATTGATCTGCCGGTGTCTCTGTTTCACATGATCTCATTGGGGCTGCCAGTCGCAAGGGTTGAGTCTCCTTGTCCTGACCTTGGGTAGCACTTGTGACTGGTTCAGCAGTGGATAATCCACGCAGGATCTTAGAGTCTTCCCCTTGGTTGCTATATAGATATTGGGAGAGAGACATCTGTCCCTGCTGGGCTTGCCAAACTAGAGAGTGTGGGTCTAGGGCTGCTGGCGGCCACGCTGTCACTACGTGAAGAGATGAAGCAAAGCAGAGACAGGAAGAATGAAAACGTGGAGAGAAAGAGAGACAGAGTCACCTTGTATAAATCCTCAGAGACAGCACTAGACCCTCGCACTTCCCAGTTTCATCAAGTAGCAAATTACCACTTTCTCTTAAGTTAATCGAGTTGGGTTTCTGCCCTTGCAATCCAGTGTGTTCTGACTAATACCCACGGACTGGGGCAGGGCTGGCTTCTAGGCCTTGGTTAATGGACAATCGTGTAACCCTAGAGTCAAAGGAATCTTCAGAGCCACCCAGCACCCCACTGCTTCTTGGACTATAAGAGCATTGCCTACCCTGAAGCATGTATCACCTAAACCAGTCAGGAGGGGACCTTGCATTTGGTGAGTACCTGCCATGTGCCAGTTGATTTCATCTACAGATGGTTCTTCATGATTGACAGGGAAGAGTGGGCATTAGTAATCTACGTTACAGATAAGGAGAGCTGGGTTCAGACAGGTTAGGGAATTAGCCTGAGGTCTTGTGGGATGCAGGGGTGCTCCTGGGTCCAGTGTGCCACCCTGCCTCACACTCTACGACTGGGCCTTTGTGCCTGCAGAGGGGTGGCATAACCCGTTTTCCCTTCCAGATGGTCTATGGGGTAGAATCTGGTGCTTCCAAAGATCTGTTGGCAGCAACATAATTTGGAGGGTTTAGTGCAAAATGAAAATGTAAGGCTTCTTGTTGAGAAATGATTACGCATTTTAAGATGATGACATCAGAGCAATAAATCAAGGCGCAAGGCCCTTCTGAGCATGGGGTCCTGTGTGACTGTACAGGCTTCCCACTTCCAAAGCCCACCCTGCTATATTTTTTTATTGATTTTTTTAAAGAGGGAGAGCGAATCAGTGATATGAGAGAGAAACATCGATCGGCTGCCTCCTGCGCACCCTACACCGGGAATCAAGCCCATAGCCCAGGCATGTGCCCTGATGAGGAATCAAATTGACAGCCTTCTGATGCAGCTGTAAGAGAGAAAAATCTCTCTCTCTCTCTTTTTAAAAAATAATTTATAGAAGAAAATATAATCTTATAAATTTGGAAATATTATTTAAATAAAATTTTGAAATACCTATGTGATTACAGCAATATTTTTTACTTTAAAAATTATTAAAAAGAAATAAAAAGGAGTCCAGCCGGTGTGTCCAAGTGGTTGAGCATTGACCCATGAACCAAGAGGTCGCTGGTTCGATTCCTGGTCAGGGCACATGCCCAGGTTGTGGGCCCGAACCCCAGTGGGGGGCATGCAGGAGGCGGCCAATCAGTGTTCTCTCTCATCAATGTTTCTGTCTCTCTCTCCCTCTCATTTCTTTATATTCTGAAAAGAAATATTACCAATTTTATAACTAAATAGGATGCCTTTGCCTCTTCTAGGTGAGTTTACTTCCAAGAACTCCGTTGTTATTGTGAAGATAAATGAGTTGATGATACACATGGGATCCTCGCATCTTGCCTGGCACATAGTGAGGCTCAGGAACTGCTGTCCTTTCTGTAAGAGGCACCCCAGTTTAGAAAGAAAGATCTCTTATCCTTTGAGACAACATGGAGGGACCTGGAGAGTATTGTGCTAAGCGAAATAAGCCAATCAGAGAAGGACAAACATCACATGATCTCACTTATTTGTGGAATATAATGAACAAAATAAGCGGATGCACAAAATGGACACAGAGACATAGAAATAGGGCTCAGACTGACAAACCTCAGAGGAGAGGGGTGGGAGAAGAGGACACAGACAACAATTTTGGGGGAGCGGGATCAGGAGGAGGGTATCAATGGGGGGAAAAGGAGAAACATCTGTAAGAAAAATAAATTAATTGATAATAATTTTTTAAAAGACAGCCTTTTGGTGCACAGGATGACGCCCAACCAGCTGAGCCACAGTGGCCGGGGCACCCACCCTGTTGTATGGTCAGAGCTGGAAGGGTGGTCCTCTGAGCGTGGGCACGCGGGAAGTGTCTCAGAGGGGTAAGGGGTGTCCTTGCTGTCCACCAGAAGTGGAGGGCTCAGGATTGAGGGGAACAGAACCGGAGCAGCAGAAATCTCTTGTGAACAGGCTGGTTCCTATAATGTTCTGGATGTCAGTTTAGCCTCATCAGTGCAGAGAATTATTATCTGTCCCACTTCACAAATGACACATTGAAACGGAGACGCATGGCTCTGAATGGCCGTGAGGTTGGCCCTGCGGGGGGCCCTGGCCGAGGGGCGCAGGGGCCGGAGTCCAGCTGCGGTCACACTTGCGAGCTGGTGCTGGCCACGCTGCTCTCGGAGGGAGACATTTCTCTCATCTGCACGAAGGTGTTGCGGGGCCTGCAGACGCCATGTGGAGCCTTGTTTGAGATCACCTGGCCAGGCATGGCTGGGTCACAGCTGGCTGGAACCAGGATTGTCTGACCGACATCCCTGCCTCGAATCCCTGTTTCCCTGAGGCGGTTCCATGATACAAGACCAGAGTTCCAGGTGGAGGGATGGGAAAAGAACGCTCTGAGCATGCCCAGTTTATCCAGGGCCGAATAATAAGTGCCAGTTTAGTCCCAAATAACAGTTCTCTCTGGGGGCTGCAGTGCGAGAGCGTTGACCCTCTTGTGGGGAATCAAGATGATGCCGAGACCTCATTGGTGTCTTTTTGTGCCTAACAAATAATGTGGCATTAAAGTCTATGTCAGATGCATGCGTGCCAGCGGGGTCAAGCCACCATCCCCTGGTCCCTCCTGGAACCACTGTTAGCCATGTTGGTTAGCTTTCCTGGTCCGAAGAGAATCCGGTCTCGTTCCTCGTTAACAGCAGGGTATTTAATGTCCGAGTGAAGGAATCATGTGATATGATTTTTTTCAAAAGGGGAGAAAAGAAAACAGTCCGCTTGGAATTTTCCCCTCTGGGAGGCTGAGGCTGCCCCCACAATGGGCATGTTCATCAGTGCCAGCCAGTGTTGATGCAACAGGGTGTCCTTAGCTTGTTCTGATGAGCTGGGTCACCAGCTTCTCCGGAATGTATACATTCCACAGCCATTGTTCATTGTTAGGGGGCCCGGCAGCTGACTCTGGGGCCTCGGGCCTGTTTGCCAATCAGGAGATTTCAGTTTTGAAACGAAGCCATTGAGCAGAACTTTCACATGAAGCAGGTTTGCCGGAATAGGAGCCAGACACAAAATGGGGGTGCAGGGGCCCCCCGGATGGGGACAGACACCTTTGTGAGGGTGCAGGGAGATACACAGATATTTCCCTTACTGTCAGCTACCAGTCATAATTAATTTGTTTGTTTATTTTATTAACAGAATTTGCACCGATACTCAGGAGACACATAAAAAGGACAAGATGTTAGATGCTAATAAAAATGATTACAGAAGTCTGGGCTTCCAGCCCACATGAACCCAAGTTTAAATGTGGTTCTGTCCCTTAGCAGCCACGTGAACTTGGACCATTAACCTTCTGCCACCATTTCCTCATCGGTAACGTTGGGGCAGTGTCTGCCGCGTATGACTGCAGGCTTGTGTGGCCACATTTCAAATGCCAGAGAGACAGAGGGGCCACAGAGAGGCCAGTCCTTCCTCTGCTTCTCTGGGCCACCTCTTGGGTTTTCTGTCTTGTAGTGATATTGATATTTCAGTTCTGCAAATTTTGATTCACCAGGTGGCCAATGAGGATCTAACGGTCACGTATAAGAGCATGACTTTCTAGTCATACTAGATTTGACTCCCAGTGTGACTACAGGCAGTTTGGGAACCCCTCTGTGCTGTGGTTTCCTTGTGGTAAAACGGGGGATACTAGTGTCTACCTCACAGGACTTTGGTAAGAATCTAAATGAAGTCATTCCTGCAAAGCATCTAAAATGAAGCCTAACAGAGAGTATGTGCTTAATCAATGTAAACAGCATTTGTTGAAGGCAGGTCACCAATGACCTTTCTGGAATGTTTTAAACCCTGTCCTGCGTCGGGGGTTTTCAGCCCATCAGTGGCACTCTGAAGGGAAGCTTTTCACCGATCACCTGCAGTTTGGGTCTAGGGTTCTAGGCGTATGTGTCACACAGGGCAGTTCAGTGGTTAAAAATTCAGGCTGTGAAGTCCTGGGGATTGGAGATGACACCCCAAGGCCACACTTTGTTAATCAGGCTCATTTGACAGGGGTGGTAATTCACACCTGATGGAGCG